AAAAAAATCGGGGTTTTTTTGGGAAAAAAAATGTGGATTTTGGGAAGAAAAATCGGGATTTTGTGCGGAAAAATGGAGATTTTGGAAGGAATAATGGATAGGAAAATGAGGGTTCTGTCACAAAAATGAAATTTTTTTTTTTTTTTTTTTTGGAAAAATGGGAATTTGTGGAGGGGAAATGGGTGGGATTTGGGCAATAACAGGTGGAGTTTGGGGAAAATCAGGGTTTTTTTTTTGGGAAATCCCATTTTCCCTTGGGAATTCTCAACCCTGGGCTGGATCCCTTTGGAATTCTCACCCTGCCACAGAAAAAAACCCATTTTTCCCTCCTGAAATGGCCCAAATTCCCTCAAATCTCAGCTGTTTTCAGAGAAAATGGAGATTTTTTTGTGGGGAAAAATGAAGGATTTTTGGGGAAAAAAATGGGGGTTTTGGGGGGAAAAATTAATGGTTTTGGGGGGGAAAAATGGGGTTTTTTTGGGGAAAAAAAGGGAGGTTTTGGGGGCAAAAATTGGGGTTTTTTTGGGAAAAAAATGGGGTTTTTGGGGGGGAAAAATTGGGACCTTGGGTGGACAGGAAAATGAGGATTCTGTCAGGAAATGGGGATTTTTTTTTTTTTTTTTTTCTTACGTGTCAAAGCACAGAAATGAACTTTCTGAAGCTCTCAGTTTTTTTTTTTTTTTTTTTTTTTAGGAAAATGGGGATTTTGGGTGGGGAAAAATAGTTTTTATTAATTTATTTGGAAGAAAAGTTTTTCTTTTTGCTTTATGGAGATTTTTTAATAACGAACAGGTTTTTTATGTTTTTGATGTTACAGTGATTGGTTGTTTAGAAAACAAAAATATAATTGTTGTGTAAAAATTTTTTTTCTTAATAAGTTTTGTTTTAACTATTGCTGAGGAATATATTGATTTATTTGCCATACTTTAAGCATTATAAAAGTTTAAACAAAAATTTATTTTTGAAAATAGAGGCGAGTTTTTTGGGAGGGGAGTAGTAAGAGTTTTTTCTGTTATTTGAATTTAAATTTAAATAATTTAAATAATTTCAATTTAAATAATTTAAATAATTTAAATAATTTCAATTTAAGGGATCCCAGCTGGGATTTGGGGTGGTTTGGGCTGGGATTGGGGCTGATCCTGAGGATTTTTCCCAGGAAATTGGTGGTGACCAAGGAGAAGGAGAAGAAGGTTGGGCTCTACACCATCTTTGTCAACCCTGCCAACACCTCCCAGTTCGCCGTGGGCGGCCGGGACCAGTTCGTGAGGTGGGGCCAAACTGGGAGCACTGGGAGAGCCCAAATCCTGGGATTCCCCATCCCAAATCCATGATTTCCTCCTCCCAAATCCAGGAATTCCCCTGCCCAATTTCCCTTTCTCAAATCCACCTTTGTCCCTGTCCCAAATCAGGGACTGGGACCAGTTTGTGGGGTGGGACCAAACTGGGAGCACTGGGAGAGCCCAAATCTTGGGATTGCCCATCCCAAATCTTGGGATTTCCTGTCCCAAATCCAGAATTTCCTCACCCCAAATCCGTGTTTTCCCAAATGTCTCCTTCCCATTTCTGAATCTGCCTCCTTCCCTGTCCCACATTGGAGTCTGGGACCAGTTTGTGAGGTGGAGCCAAACTGGGAATACTGGGAGATTCCAGATCCTGGCATTTCCTCATCCCAAATCCATGATTTCCTCATCCCAAATCCATGATTTCCTCATCCCAAATCCTTTATTTCCTCATCCCAAATCCATTATTTCCTCATCCCAATTTCCCTTTCTCAAATCCACCTTTTTCTCTGTCCCAAATCAGGGACTGGGACCAGTTTGTGGGGTGAGATCAAACTGGGAGCA